CGTGTGATAGTCTCGAAGATTTTTAGTAAAAAAAGTCGCCATAAATCACGCCATCTACGAGATGGTGACAAAAGTAAACAATTCAATTGCATCATTCCGTGCAAATGCAAAGTCCCTGTCAAGAGATTAGAGCATATCCCATATTCATTTTCAATTGGTCACTGCGAATATCGTGAAAAATGTAGAACTTTGTTGAAAAAATGGACATACTTTGCTTTCATACTTGCGCTTCCCTTCTAGCCTTGATCGCAACGTCTCCTCAATACCTCAGGTGGGTTTTTCTACCAAAACGAGAGCCCAAACTTCGGTCTACAGCATAAGCCTTAGTCGGTGGTGGGATAGATTTCCCAATTGACACTGCCGAGTCTGAGAGGAGCTGAAACTGCTTGGATTATGTCTGGTCAATGCTGGATAATATGGCTACGACAACAAATAAACATAAACCAATAATAAACGATAGAAGATGACTGCGGCAAAACAAAACCCCCATCATCGTAACAGTCATACCAACAAATGTCATAACAATAGCCCTCAAAGTTGTAGCTTGTGAGGAGAATAGGATGTCATTCGACTTGACATCTCGAATTGGAAATTAGGTGGAAATGTTCTTGAGTTGTCCATTTATCACAATAGATAAGCGGTTTAAGCGGAAAGTATTTTTAAAACTTTCCATTTCCTGGTCCCGGAGGTTTACTTCAAAAATATGCAGTCTCCTTGCCAGCAACGATTTCATACAACCTAGTTTGACCTCAAAAGTATGAATGAAAAGATTTTAAAAAACAAATTAACAAATTACTCCAAGTGAAACCGCAAAATCTGGGGTTAGTCGTACTCGAAAAAGAAATTTTCAATCCATTAGTCTCTTGGTCTTTGGGTAAAATGAGTGGTTCTGAAGGTATTGATGACATTATATTCATAGTAAATAGAGAAAATACCTGTTTTATAGGAATAACTTAATAAATGTAGTTCAGCCAACGTATCGCCTAGAAGAAAAGAGATGGATTACTTTGGAATTGTTACTGCTGAATCTCTTCTGATGAGCATTTATCTATACCAAGAGAAATTGGGTTTCGATGAATCTCTTAAGGCAACATTGCTGGGGAGTGAGCTAATTCATATAAAATTACATGTTGAAGATATTCGTTGGTTGATCTCACCGAAAAACGACGGCCGATTCTTGCTGTTTGCAGTCTTTTGGCATTAATACGGCTTTCAGGTTGACGCAGTCGACGAGACATCCTCTCTTGTTTCGGGTGAAATTAGGCCAAGAGTTCGTCCATCGTATAATGAATATTGAACTCAAAGCTGGAACTCATTTCTGTAAAAGTTTCCAGTTAACTCCAAGTCAAAAATACTTCGATGCACAACAAAATAGTGACAAAAGAGAGCCTCCCTTAAATCGGCTTCTAATTCACTTGAAGTTCCGACAAAATGTCATGCCAAACAAAGAGTTAAAAGATTAGAGTATGTTTTCCTCGCTTCCCATCTCGTCTATATGGATTTTAATTTTTTTCCTATTTTAGTTCCATTTTTTCCATCATTTTTATACCTTTTTCTGGGTGTTGTATTTGATTCCGGGTCCATATTTTCGATGGGGCTCAAACAAATGTATATAAATTTCTCAACTTTTTACCAAATACATTATACTATCTCATGGCGCCTATTTCACGGAGGACAGAAGATCCAATATATTTATTATATTCAGCTTAGATTCTCTCTATTTACTTTATGTGTTGACCACCCATTTCCTCCATTTCATGGAGCTAAATCGGCTAAAAAATCGCTTATTCCGTCCCTCTTAGCGTCACTTGTCCAGATCAACAAAATGGCAATGTGCATTTATTGTCTTCTCATACTTGCCCCTGTATTGGCGGGACTCATGCTCCAAAAGACCGTTTTAGGGGGCCTCTATCTCTCGACATGTTGCACACAAAAATTGTTTGTTTGTCTATTCCCACCGTCCATAGGCTAATGGAACTTTTTTGCTTTGCAGAGCTCGCACCGAACTGGCCTGGTACTTCATATCCCACCTTTCTCGCTTGTCTGCGGCAGCTGAGGCGCCATTCTGGCTCCGAAGGTTCGAGACCTCTCCTCCCCTTCTGGAGGCCCGTGAAAGGACCCATCTCTTCAGGGTCCACAGAAGTCCCTTTAACGGGCGACCCCAACAAGGGCTCCATCAACACGATTTCGGCCCTGGCTCTCTCGCCGCCAGAGTTAGACGCTCATCTGCCCAATTCTTCCTTTCTTTCGACTCCTCTCTCTCGGTTCCCTCAACCACCTGCCCCCTTGGCTTGCCCCTCGCCTCCTCGGACTCGAACTCCGACTCCAGTCGGCTCGACCGGTTGCTCCGATCCGACAGCCCATCTGAACCACTTTGGCGGACATGATTCTAGACGCCAAGTCTATCCTTCCTGTCACGGTTGGCTGCGTAACATGGCCTCGCTGGAGACCACTTTCATGAGTCCCCGAGGCCGGCTGGTCGACAGCCCTTCAGACGAGGACTTTCCGCTGGAATCGTCTTCTGAACAGTCGAGTGGCCCTTCTGAAAAGAAGGAGCCCTGCGACAGCGAGGACAGGTAACTGAGACATGCTGGCTCCACGTCACCTTGGCAACAAATACCTCTTCCCTCAGATCAGACGTTGATCGGCTCCATAGGACGAAGCATATTTGAGGGGTAGTCGGCCTAAGCCCGGATTTTGCAAGATTTGGTAGAACTAAACTATTTTCTTATTGGAGTAGAGTTTCGAGACTTCCAGTAAATCAGTAATATGAGATGTATTCACCCTATTTCGTCTAAGGTAATGATGTGGAAAAATTCTACTAACAGTCCTTCATTCCTTTAGACGAAATAGGGTGAATACATTTCATAGAACTAAACTTGGTGGTGCATGGCAACAAAGAGAACTTCTTTGATTCCGAGACATGCTTTATGATCAGTCGTGCATCATATGAAGGATGGACTCGATTCTATCATGTATGGCAAGTAAACTGTACCTTCGAATGGAGCATAATGGCCGCTACAACTCAAAATATACATCATATCATGTAGGCCAAGTATGAATTAGGTGGGACTGGGTTGCCAACCAAAAAGCGAGACCTGATTTTTCTAGTGAACAGCACTGTCCTAAAAGCAAGCGCAGGCATCGCATGAAAATTTAGTTCACTTTTAGCCAAGTTTCCAACGAAATTTGCTTGCATACAAACATCTTCGAGCGTCAAAAAAACACTCCTTTGGCGCTCATTCTACTTGGAAGAATATAACATTGTGGGGAAGACTTTCATTTCACATGAAAGTGCATAACGAAAAGATTCGTAGGTCAATCTCACCGGTACTACATACAGCCTTTTGGATTTAATGAGACGTCCAGGTCGGTCCAATCCGCCAGACATCCTCCAACGTCTCAGGCGAAAATTGGCTCACCTTTCGTTCGTCATATGATGTACCTCATCAGAGCTTGGACTCATTCTTGCCAAAGTATCGCTAACGAATACCAAATCCGTCTTCGCCCAAGACTTCGGAGGTTGTCTGGTGGACTGGATCAACCTGTCTTCTGGTGAGACTAACCTGAGAATCTCTTCATCGTGCACATTCATGCAAAATGAAATTTTTCACAACAATCTTATCTCGGGATATTCTTTGAATCACCGTTTCTTCGTATATAGAATGGAATATCCCTAAATAATGTTAAAGGATAACTAATGGATTTTGTTGCTTTCACTCCTAACAACAAATATCTGCTCCCTGAGACGCAAAAGGACGAAGCAAAAGAGAGATATACCGATTTGTTAGATCGGACGATAGTCAAAGCCCATCAGATTCACAAGATTTCTCGAGAGCTAGTAGAGCTAAACTGGGCGCTGGACAGCAGCAAACGAAGCTTCTGTAAGGCTGAATCATCTCTTGTCATTATTCTATCGTGTGAACGAGTACACTCTGTACCATCATTCAATTTGAGCATATGTCTCCCAACACAGTAAATAAAAGCGTGCCTTTGGACGAAACAGAATGACTGGACTAACCTCGAAATAAAGATTATTTCATGTAGGCCTTTTATAAAATGAGTGAGACTGAGCTCTTAAACGAATGAAGGCTTATGAAAAAAAAGAATAATGGAACAGACTTTTCTGGCAATTATAGCAGTGTCCCTTGGGCATATTCCAAAACGATGTGTGCTTACTACATTTTTATCAAAATTTCCTACGAAACTCTCTTCCACACATCCTCTTTTACAGAAGTTGTTTTAGCTTATTCTCACAACTTGGTCGTGTTGTTCACTGCCCGAGGCTGAAAATTGTCATGGCTACTATGGACTCTAGACAAAATGCGTTCCTGCAGATCGCCCTGACGATACGACTTAGTGGGGATAACAAGGTCAAACGATTTCTATAAAATGAAAGGAGGCCTTAAGTATACTAATGGCAACACAATCTTGGTCTTCGTACATTCAAATAAACTAATTTTATTTTTCGAATTAAGTATTGTTTTCGTGACTACCAGTAAATCAGTAATATGAGATGTATTCAC